CGCCGCCGCCGCCATGTTGCTGTCAGCTGCTCGGCCCTCCACTTCCGGGGGCGGCCGCCAACAGTCAGCGCCCCTGTTGAATATTCAGCAGGCGCGTGGCGCGGCCCCGCCCCCCCACCAGCGGGGTGGGGGTGGGGCCGAGCCAGGAAACGGGGGGAAAAAAAGAGAAAAGAGGGAGGAAAAAAACAAGATAATAACGGTGTCTGCATTAGCGAGTACACGGAGCTAGAGCCTGTGAGAAAGTGGTTGTGCCTGCCTTCACCCGTCACCTGCCACGCCGGGTGTTTTTGCCTTTATTTACTGATGTAGAATCACGTTTTAAAGAACCAATGGCACGATACACAGGACTTTTTTCCCCTACGGCTTGGTCAGTTAAAGGAAAAGATGTACGTTACCAGTAGGGAGCCCACCCTCAACTGGGGAAGAGTAACACAACTGTGTAGCTCCCAGGATGCGCGGAGACCCCGCGTTCATTGTACAGCCCCTATCCTTCCTCTGGTCTGCATGCCTGCTCCTGCTTGTAAGGTGCCCAGAAGTGGTGTGTAGTTCCCATAATAGCCTTGGTTACGTGAAGTTAGAGATGAAATGCGTACTTGAAAATCAGAGCGACCAACTTTTCGGTTGTTAAAAAGGGGACAGAGACCACCTTTCCCAGAAACAAGAGGTAGAAACAGGCAGTAGGCCAGGTACTCGCCGTGTTTTAGTGTTTTGGAACTTTATGGGAAGTTATCATCATCTCAGGCATTAAGTTATTTGGTAGAGAGCATTAGGAAGAAAAAGGTGCACAGAGTGAAACGCATACTGGAGTCATAATGGGCCTGACTCCTAGAAGGCTCTGCGAGGGTACAAGTGGGAGACGTCACAAGCTAACTCGCACTGTCTATCACGTGAAACCTGGCATGGTTTCAGAATCCTAACACTATGTTAAGTATTTGTCAAACTAACATTTAAATTACACAGATGGAAGTCCTAAAAACATATCGCTAGCAGATAGTCCTAAACTAACTTCTTTTTATGTGCAAGTTATACAGAGATGCTGAAAAACAAAACAAAACAAATCAGTAGATGTTAAGACACGTTTCTAAGTCAGGCCAAACAAACTTCTATGAGAAGACTTAATTTACACATTTATTTACAGTGTGAAAAACAAAAAACCTCCCATACAACCTCTCAAAATATTTACACTGTGCCAGGAATTTATGAAGACTGTCTCTGCACGCTGACATACCTAAAGCAAATCGGAAATTCCACACACGCAAAGTTACCAGGTAACAGAATTAAAAAAGAAACACTCGTACAGTATAACTGAATCTTCAGATCAAATCCATCTCAAATTAAAAATGATGCAGCAAGTTACATAAAAACATCTATATCATTACTAATTACAATTTACGAACTCTACAGAACCCCAGTGCAAAGCTGTTGTTTGCATTAATGAATGTTGCCATCTTGATTCTGCAATCTTTATGTCCCCAAGCACAAAAAAGTAGAAATGTGCAAGGGTTGCAGAAGGATCAAATCTTAATTAAAATATTCTAAACCATGGACTTCCTTAAAGGAAAATTATTGCCTATTTCATTGTATTCCTCCAAGGTAAAATTTTGCAAGACATTAATACCAATAAACAGATTTTTTTTTTTTTAAGTATTTGTTATTGGCTGTTGCCCTTGGCGAGTGAAAACTCTGGATCTGAATTAATATCCATTAAAGCTCCATGGAAACTTCTTATGGACATCTATATTTCAAGAGGCCCTTCTTCCCCGTACACTGTAATGGTCTTTGAATATAATCTTCATCTACTAAGATAAAAACATGCCTGACCTCCAGACAGGTAGTTCCACTTATTTGAGTGGGACTATTGACATGTTCAAAATGGGGCACATGTTCTGTTATGCTGCTGAACTGGAGCCAAAATAAGAAGGCCACCTAGAATATCTTGGCCATCTACAGCTATGATAGCAAACTGAATAGCTACAGCTGTCTTATTGTATTGTGTTGTATTAAGCTTTAGCTATCTTTAACTTCACAAATACTATGAAAAATACAGTTAAGAGCTGCCATCACATTTAAATTTAAAATAACCACAATATCTGTTTAAACTTTGCAACTAATGGTTTTTTATCACTTCAGGGAAGAGTTAACTCTTCTGTTAAAGACAAATGTGGAAAAAAAAATGCAAAGCTGCCATAATTTGGAAAAAATACTTTAGGGGATTATGAAAGAATAAGTTATTTTTTAAAAATCTGTTTTGAAGTTTATTATGATTTAAATTAATACCAGTAGTAAACGAGTTGTATATTTCTCTATGAATCAGTTTTAAATTAAGGGCTTACAAAGCTTCCCGGAAAGAAATGTTTTCTCTCTCTAATTTTAAAATAATTCCTAGCTTTTTGTGGTATACATGTAAGTAGTGGTGAAATTGGTGCATCAGCCATACCTGGAGAGGGAGAGAGAGAGAGATACAATTATAGCTTAACTCAACCAGTATTTAGCTTTATAACAGTTATGAAAGGTAAAAACACAGCTTGAGTATCTATGTACAAGCCAGTAATTCTAAGAACAAATTGCTATGTATTTAGACATAAGTTTTTATAGTGATAAGATTTTTATTCTACTAAATTTCTATCTATATCTAAACAAACTGTGAAGGTTCTCCCTTATGCAAGATAGAAGCATAATGTAAGATGACCAAAACATTTAACTGTGGATTTCTCCTCCATTTTGTAGAGTTGGAACACTTACCTGCTGGTGCCAAAGATTTCAGCGATTCCAAAAGATGTGGACTAGAAAACTTGACCAGACATCTGAATGGTTCTTTTTTATCCAAAACATCCATTTGAGGATCACTTTTAAACATCGTCTCAAGCTGTTAACACAAAATTTAACCAGGGAGTATAAGCAATGAATATATTTTATTTGTATGTTATTATTTAAACATTACATTAAAAATGTAATATGTAGTAAGGCTGTATCTTATTTGTCTATTATTTCTAATGTTAACATGATTCCAGCTGGAGGAATATTTTAATAAAATCAGAGGGTGCCACCACGTGGTAAACAGTTTTCTGCTGAAAGAGGCAGCTTGTTCAGTAATATTGCAAAACATTAATTATCTCCTAGAATTTCCAATATATCTGTTCATCAGTCAAAATCCGTGCATCATCCAAGAAGTTAAACTATGGTGTTATATGTAGCATGAGCTTTGTATGGATTTCAAATAACCCTCATTTCCCATGCTTCACCACACTGCTGGTGTAAGTCTACCTTTATTACAAAAATAAGTCAAAATGCTTAGTTCACAAGGCTGAAAGACTGAAACATGATCTAGTAGTCTGACCAAATCTCAATGCAAATCCATTTCTTAAAGATACTTTTAACTAATTTATTTTAAAATATGTGCTCCCTAAAGTTTGAAGAAATACTAGCTTTTTCTTGACTTGCAATTTAATGTAGCTACCCCTATATTAAAATTATAAAAAAAAGAAAATGTGTTGCTTTTACTACCTTATATTGTGCAAATTCGAGTTTTGGTTGGGGACCATCACCAAAAACTTCCCGATTCACTCTCTCTATTCTTTCTTTCTCAGTTTTGTTTTCTTGAATTATCCTTAAATCTGCTGCACGCGAAAAGAGTACGGAAAAGAAGAGGAAAAAATCCAGAAAGACAACTTTGTCAGCTGATACAATACTGTTTTTCTGATCAGGTAATTACTCCAGTGAAAATCTGAAAATAACAATTTTAAAGAATTCATCACGATATTTTTTTTTTTTCCCCCATAAGCTAATTGTCTCCATCATTTATATTTTCAGTTCTTACCAAGAGAAAAACGCAAGCTAATATGAAAGGAGATAATGGGCATTGAGTGTTTTTGGTTTCATAACTGTGTCTAGTGACAGTCATGGGGAAATATTTACCTGTCCTAGTGATAGCCCATATTATAGCACCCCACCAGGTATGGATAATATAATGTGGATGTAACATACGTACATTTCCTAGAATGAATATGATTTCATAAGCCAGCAGTAATGACATTCAAGCTGCCATTTAATTTGAAATATACGTACCACTTTCGGGTGCTACATTCCTTTCTTGTAGAGGTCTTGGATAATGAGTTTGGAAGTTCTAAATCGGAGGGGAAAAAAAAAAAAATTTTAGTCCACTTCCACTTTTAGAGCCTGTAGCTGAAAAGAACTTTCCAGTTTCTTTTTACTTCTCATTCTGAAAGTGAGTATTCTTCTAATTTTTGACAATTACTGGAAGTCAGAAAGCCCAGCTTTATTTTGAGAAAAGAATGTCTGTCCTATGATATTTGTGAACATTTCCCTACTTAAAAGCATTACATGAATGAGCAGAGTAAGTGCCCGTTCTAATAGCCTTCAAATCATTGCTCTAGGAAGCCTAGTGAAATGATGCTAAGAAGTCCTAGGACTGAATTGGTGATACAATTTTTAGACTGAGTTTAACCATCAGGAATAACAATAATAAAGAGCAGGTGGGATACCAAGTAATTACATCCCCATTGTAATGTTACCTTAATGAAAGGCTGTCCACCTCAGTAGTTCAATATTATTTTAACTTGATGGTCTCTTGGAAGAGGTAAATTTCCCCCCCTGCTAGGGGGTGAGAACTAGGCCTGAAACAAAAAGCAAGACTTATCTTAGGCTGTACTTGTAAAGTGGCTCACCTGGCTATATCTCTTAAACACAATATCTTTAAGGGAGTTTAAAGAATGACTTCGAAGCTCCATTTCACGGATGTCATGGTAATTAGAAGCAAGAACCAGGGCCTTTAAATAAAAATTGAAATTGTTTTAACATCAGTCTTAATCATCACTGTGTTTATAATATGGAAAAAATATAGCATTTCTAGACATTGCAATGTTTTTGTTTCAAGGTAAGCAACTGCCCTTTAACTAGGAGGATTGTCAAGTCTGAAAAAATGCTGAATAGACTGTTATTAAGCTTAGGTTAATATTTAAAAGCATTCACAGGATTAACCAGATAAGCCTATAGCCTTATCAACTTAAAAAATAAATAAATAAAACAGATTAAAAATTAAATTACTAGTATGGAAGTCTGCTAAACAGATACAAAAAATAAAGACTACCAATGCTGATCACCACAAGTTGACAGAAAATGTCTTTTAAAACTAATTAATAGCATTCCCTGATGAGCTCATACATTTAGTTCTTAAAGTTAACCGTGTTGACATAATACTCTTCAACTTCTATGAGACAATTTAACTGAATATTGCCTAACACTTGGTTAAGAAATTAGAACAATTCAAGGTCAGCAAAAATCCCAATAAACTGAATTTATTCACAATGCACCATTCCAAAGGTCAAAGAGATTGTTTTTTGCCCCATTTTTACCACGAATTAAAGGGAAAAAATGACTATTACGTAAATTATGTAAAGTGACAAATCTTTACCCAGCCTCTTAAAAGCTAATACAATTATAGCTCTACGTGACTGTGGTGAAGCCAGGGTCTACACAGTTTTATTCTGTACCTGACACAGCAGAGGCAAGTTGCTCTTAAGCACTGAGGCAGAAATGAAGACATAGGGAGTCTGTGAATGGTATACAACATAACTTGGTTTGTACTGGTTTGGTTTTGTATACGGTGTTCCCCAGGCAATTCTAATCCAGATTGCATTATCCTCATATTCTCTAAAGTTGATGGTGACCTAACAGAAAAAGAAAAGCTTTGATTTACCAGCACATTCAGGTGTCCATAACAATTTTGTTATCTCTTCACCCTGTGTTCACAAGACCCAAACGTAATTTAGTATGCCACTGCTTGAATAAGAAACAAATCCCACCAGTGAGTTCACCACTGTATTTAAATCAAATTTCCACAGAAAAACGATAACCTCACAAACTGAAAACCAAAACAAAACAAGAAAACAAACAAACAAAAAAAGAGAAAGAATCCCCTTTTAAACTCTAATATGACTTTTGTTCCTGCTGACGTACATTTTCTTCTGAAGGGTAAAAATAAAAATAGCTTATTACAAAAGCCTTGATTTCTCTTTTGGGAAAATAACAACACAACAAAAAGGTGTCTGTTTAGATGGAGGGCTAGTGGCAATATTTCCAGTATGTCCAGTTTTTGAGAAACTAAACTTTTGATCAACTTGTGATTTTAGACCCAAATATAATATTTATCACTGCTCCAGAACACACAATCAGAAATTTGAAGAAGATTCCCTTTCCTGTTCTTGTAGATTTCCTCCTCAATTACTTCTTTTTACCTTGACTCATTCTCGGTGACTTAAGAGTGGGAAAACTTCCTTTAAAAAACCAAAACCCTCCCTTTGACTGAGGCACACACAGCCAAGCTTTTAGTCCAACTAGGTCATAAACTCTTTAAATTGCTGGACCAACATCACTTCTCAAAGTTTTTGTGGAATTTAAAAAAAATACATTGCAAAACTCTTTTCATAGAGTTATATGAACTGCAGCTAATTATCTGTTAGTCTAATTTGTATTTGTTGCCCTCTACTGTTGTCAGTGGGAATCCTTTGTGCATCAAGAAGTGACACAGGTAACAGGCATTTTCTATTACCTTGCTTAAATGAAGCTGATGAGCTAAAGCAAGAAAAGGCTTCTGCAAATTGCTTAGTAAAAAAGTGAGATGATAGTATTTCCCTTCCATTTTTTCTTACTATGCTCATTTCTGTAGTCTAGAAACCGCTTCTTGCTATTGACAGTGGTCTTTCAGTCATTATAATGTAATGAAATACCAGGGCCAAGTTCTCACAGCCATCACAAAATATCATTTCAAAACCAGAACTAAAAGGACATGGATACAATTTCGCTACTAATCTAAGTCATAGTAGCTGAACCTCCTTGTCCTGCTTACTGGCTACTTCAGATTCCCCTTTATACTCCGTTTGATTCAAATTTTTGTTGCTTCGTTATTGTTATTGGGTAACAGGACAAAGCAATATCAACTTACCCAGGCAACATGTACACTCAAACAGGGCAAAGATTTCATAGAAAACATAAACATACTGCCTTTCTTGAAGTCGGTCATATTTTAAGGCAGACTTACAGTTTATTTCACTCCAGCATAATTGTAAAGTTGCTAGAACAGGTATGCAACACATTTTTCCTATTTCACATGCAGTTCTTACCATTCCCAAATGAATAATTCCATTTAATTTTTGATGCAGACTGTAAGAAAACAAAATACCTTCCTAAAGTTATGAAAACAATCTATTGTCACCAGAGCTAACAAATTTAGAATGGATTTCTTCTTACATTTTTCAAGGCTGACCGAAGCCTTCTTTTAAATTTTTTTTTGAAATCTGTTAAGTCAAAAAATTCCGTTTCTTCCCCTGTTACACAAGAAAAAAAAAGAAACAAGAATTGTGTTTACAAGAACTAGTTCAGAGATGTTTTTACAGTTTTGCTGAAACAAAATTAAGCAGAAAAAGCTGAAGCTGCATAGCCTTATACAAAAAGCTGTATATTAAATTTGAGCCTCATTATTGCTATATAAAGGTTAATACTTAATTAGTAGTTACCAATTTCTAAAAATTGCTTGAGAAGTTAATAAAAAGTATTCTAAAAACATTAAAGATATCTCTATTGAAAAACCCATACTAGACTATATTGGTATTTAAAACATATGATATGAGGCAGCACTGCAGTAAACTGCTGAGAACTGCGAGATTACGGCAAGGAAAGGCATTTTACCTGTTTTCTTCATCTGGTAAACACTCCACACTCTCTTGTTTGGGTAGACGTGGTTGTCTAAGAAAAATAGGAATTGCTCAATAACATAGTGTATTATCAAATGGTAATTAAAGGAACAAATAATTTTACAATACTTTTATGACCAGGTGATTTCAAAAAGATTACTTCTGATAACGCAATGTAAGTTATTCAGCATTCTTAAGCTACCACTTATACTAAACCTAAAAGCAAAATAGTTTTTTATTAGAAGAGATAGGAAAATCTTTTTAAATTCAGTTAAGCAACTAAGGAAGGGTATCTCTGAGGTTCAATATTTAAAAAAGGATTTTACCTAAAACGACCAAAACTCAGTCTAAACTCAAACTAAGAAGTGTAGGCTGTTAAAAGAAACCTTGAGATTTAAACTATTATATAATTAATTTGTGAATTAATATTGGAGTTAGAGTTCCACCTGGAGTATTTGCTGTTAATTTTGCCTATGTCACTTGCTATTGGAGAGCGATATTACCGATCTTAGGGTTCGGTGCATACCAAAGACAAACATATCTCTCTACGCTTATAACTGCATGCTGGATGTGGCTTACCACAGTTTACATCTATTCAGACCTCAGAAGAAGCAAACATACTTTTGTCAATTTTGAGCTTTTTTTTTTTTTAAAAAGGTCACATCCAGTAAGATTAATCATCTAAAACGTAATCTGTTTACACCAAGTGCATCTGTACCTCACTAGGGCAATTGGTATGTAACTAGAGGCGTTATCAAGTTACTCAGAAAAAAATATGAAGATGTTATTTTTATTCATTTTTTACTTACAAATTATGTCTAGGACAGCTGCTTGCTTTATGTCTGCAGAATTTTCCTGGAAAGAAGAATAACAGTGCGTGGTGAACCACAGGTCCAGAATGCTCTATCACACTATTTAGTAAGTGAAAAATCTCAGTATTGGTAGTTTAAATGACATTGCACTTAAGCCCACAGCATGTACACTCTCCTCAGCAACACCACACCTGGTCCCAATGTGCACACAATAAAGTTTTGAGAAATCAATAACAAAAGATATTTCAGCAAGGTTTAAGTGTTTCTGCAGAGGCAGCAATGAGAACCTTGTCCTTATCATATGATGTACAAGCACTTAGAAAGTAAAATTAACAGGCATTCATGACATTATGTAACACTGATCAGTATTTCATTGTCAGGTATTTTAATATGCTTGGTTCCTCATTTAACCTTTATGGCACGAAAAGATTTTTAAGAACCTTCATGACACTACCTGTTACAGATAAGAATGTTTCAGAAGCTAATGTTATTTTAAAATATGACATTTGCTACCTTACAAGAATAACTTAACAGTTTCTTGCCCGTGGTTTGATCTACACCCATTGTAATGAATCTTTGAGTATGAAATTCAAAGGGAATGATAAAAAAAAGCTATAGAATTTAAGAGATATCAGTAATAACTGTATCTATCTGGGTTATGATACTATATATAAAGACTCCTGGTACATATAAAGATTCCTGATACACCAAAATTAGATTATGCAAGTAGGAGATCAGAAAACTTTTTTGCTTATATTAAGCAGAACAGAAGTAGTTCTGGCCAAGGAAATTTTTCAAAAAAGTCTGACGAGTCTAAAAGATCTATACTAGTGCTATCAATACCCATACTAAATAGATTTAGATTGGTACTATGTAATGAGTAAGCATTGCAATCAATGCCTTTATTTTACAGTTTAGAAATACACCTGTTTCTTAAAGGTTCAACACACTGAGCTTTTATTTACCTTGTGCAACTTATAAGCTCAAAACACATACTGCCATACTCAGTAATGGTCAGTCCTGCTCTCCTATCAATCAGACAAAATTGACGGTATTACCACCTCAGCTTTACATTTTCCAGACTACAAACTGCCATTTGATGCTGTGGTATGGCCAAGAAAAATCCATTTCTTCATAAGAATGGGGGTTTTTTTTGGATGGTGCTTCAATGATTACCTCACAGAGTTGAACAACATCTTGAGAAATGTTCTCCTTTATCTGACGGAAGTTTATGGTTTGCAGCTGCGTCTCAGAAAGCAAGCCCCATTTCTGTAGCATTGTCTTGATTTCATCTCGTGGGATTTTTAGTACAGTTCTTCGGATATACTCAGCAACAGTTTCATCCATGATGAAGCCACCTGAAAAGCTGAAACGTTAAAGAAGTTAAGACCAAGGCACAGGCAGGCTCAGGAGATTAGCTCCTTACTAAGGTGCACAAAGCTGCATCTAGGCACGACTAGCAGAACGCTGGCATCAGTCCTAAGCGCGGCACTACCACAGATTTCGGCGGACAGCAACGACAGCGAGTTAAAACGCTTTCTACAACCATTTTTCCCCAAGCCCTCAGAAGTTTCCCTCACTGACCGAGGCCTCAGCGCGACCTTCCGGAGAGGGATAGAGCGCTGGCGCACAACCAGGGCTGTTACTACCTGTCCTATCCGGTCCGATGGGTGTCCAGCGGTCCTCAGAGAGCGGACGGGGACACGAAAAGAACCGCGTAGCCGAGCGGAGCAGCCGCGACCCTCCGCGCCCACCTCACACTACTGCAGCAGCAGCCCCCGCCCGTCACGCACCACGCCAACCACCGCTCGCCTTTCGAAGCGACCAGTCAGGTGCCGCGCGGTGCCGGAGCCGTCCAATCACAAGGCGCCCCGCCTCCCACCCCGCAGCGCTATTGGCTCCGGCTCCGTGAGGGCTCTTCCCGCCGCTGCCGGCTGCGCTGAGGTGGCTTCCGGTCGGGCCTGGCCGGGTCGCCCGCGCCTCCTCCCGACGCTGCGCGGCTGGCGTGTCGGTCGCGGTGCCTGCCTCGCCTGGCTGGGCTCGTCCTCTGGGGACTGGAGTAAGTGCGAGGATGGCTGAGAGGGGAGGCTTTGGCCGGACCCGAGCGGGCAGCGTTGCTCCTTTTTAGTGCTGAACGAAAAGAGGGGCATGTGGGAGAGATGCCCTCCCTTCCCGGCCCGCCGCCTGGCTTTGGGGGGAGCCGTGCCCTGCCCTGCCTGAGCTCGGGGCCGGCTTCTGGGACCCTCTGCTCACCTCGCACCCTCCTTCAGGGCTCAGGGAGGGCTTTCAGAAGGGCTGTTCTGAGTGGCAACCTGGGGCTTCCCATTGCGACGGTCGTAAGCTTGATTTTCCTTGGGTCTGTGTGTTTCCCATCAGTACTTTAAGGACTCCTGGCAGCACTGAGAAACTACAGACTGAAAACAGTCTGGATTAGTTCAGTGGGCCTCTTCTCCTGCCCTAACTGTTGATAACAGTGTAGCATCCCCTTTCACCTGACAGCAAAGCTGTCACACTAACAATATTTACTTTCAGCCAAGTGCTATGTGCCTTTCTTGAGGGGTGCTTGCTGCTGAAGCGATGAGGTCCTGTCTTTTCCATCAGGGGAGCGTGATCCTCTCGATCCCTTTCTCTCAGAAGGCGAAAAGCTGTTCTACAGTAAGCAAGAAAATTCTGCTGGCAGTACTAAATTTATAGTGTTCTTATCTGATAGATTGGGAAATGAATGCAATAGTAATGAAATGAAGCCTGGTCTGGTGGATGCAGCTGAAGTACGAGAGCAGCTTGCCAAACAGGAATTTGGCGACAGAACCTTATCTTCAGCATGCTTTACTTTTATACTGGCTGGGTCTTGCCATTCTTGACTGTATATTCTCATCTTCATAGACACAGCAGAAATAGAAAGAGATTGCTTCAATAATCTTTTGTGATAAAATGCTATATTGTGCAGTGTGACTTGCTGCATATTATAATAAAAATATTCCACTAATTGCCCTGTAACTATGCTGATGTGTGTTGTATGAATACGACCTTAAGTAATTGCCAGGAGTTGAAAATGCCCTATTGTGCTTCAGTTGATCATTTAAGCCAGAAGTAAAACTGTAGAAATTGCTTGATATTCAAGTTGGTGTTCAACTTGCTTTATTTGTTAGGACTAACACCTTGTTAGCTTGCTTTACTAAGTATGAAGTCAGGCTTGATGTAGTTTTATCAGATACTTAGTCCTAAAAGTAGCGGGTGAGAACTCATTCTGCTGATGTGAGGGATGTTGAATTGCTGGTAGAAAGTAGTCATGTAAAAAGACAGTTAAAATCAGTATGAATCTTATTTATCAAAGGGTTTTTTAAATTGTTATTATTTAGGTTCAGGGAAAGTAAATAAAATCTATATAATATAAAAACATTTTAAAAGTAGACATAATCCCCCCCCCCCCCCGCTTTGTGCTTCCTTATTATTTACAAGTCTTCATAGATATGTATCTAAATTATTTCCTTCCCATTGTAATATGTAATATTGGAAAAGTAATGCATAGTTTTGAAGACTGAGATTCAAGAGGTTGTGACTAATTTTTATAAGATTTAGCTAAACTTGGTTTGTTGAAGTGAAGGTGTCTGGCTAAATTTCTTGGAAACATTGGAAAGCGAGGGGTCATGCTCAGTGTGCCTAATCACAACCTCAAGGACAGCAGCATAGAATGATACTTTAATATCCCGATCTGGAAGACGTTAACCATGTTGCTGAAAGCTAGAAACAGAGTCCTTAGTTCAGAGTTCCCTAGGTTTTTTAAATGGCCTTCATCAACTGTGATTTCTCATTTCACTGAATGACTGATCTGAGTATTCTAAGCTGTTATCAGAAATATTTATAAATTGTGTATGAAAGATAATACTAGGAATGCAGAAGTTCTGCTGAAGTGACATGAATGATATCTTTAGGTAACACTTACCAGTTAGGTGTGGAGCTGAATCTCTTTTTATGCTAAAACTTTGTATAATGTTACAGAAAACACCCATGATTTGAGTAAACAAAGAGCTGGTTGGTTTGTTAAGTGTTTTTCTCCAAAGCCAAACAGAACAATACTATGTAACTGAGAACTTAAAACCAAAATGTCTGGTCTTACTCAGATTAGACAGTGAAATGAAGTGCAAAACTAAATGTTACACATGGTGAAGTGATACGGTGGCTTTATAGGAATTTGCAGATCTGTTTGCCCTTCCCCCTCTTTTAGTCCATGTTCTCGTTTGCACGGTCATGCTGCCGCCTTGTGGGTATTATTTGAGTGTTTGCAGCAAATGTGTGTGTTCTGTACTGTAGAAAGGTCTGTGTTTCTGGTTAAGGAGCTTAATGATTAGCAATGTAGATGCTCAGATGCAATTTTTCATCTTCAGGATTGGTACACAAGGATTTGCATTTTGCTTTAAGAAGTAATTTTTCTGAGCAATATGTGATTTTTTTTTAACTATTGACTTTAGAAACTTGAAAAAAGTTGAATTACTTTTGCATGCAACTTTTTAAATGAAAAAAATAGCAAAACTTGGTCTGAGAAATAGTCTTCTGACATGCTTTTTCCATATTTCATTAAAACATCTTAGGAAAACAATTACCTAGATTTAAATCTTTCTTTCATTGTTGTCCCCCAAACATGGAAATATTAAGCATTAAGCTAATCAGTGAGACTAAAGCAACCTAATTTAGTTTTCCTTCTGCGTCAGGGAACTGGTTAGTTCATATTTATGGGGGATTTTGAGAAAAGAAGAAAGGAAATTCCCTCAATTCCTGACATGCTGATCTCATGCTTCCTTTGGGAAAGAAGTGGGAATGTACCAAACACCTTATTTCTCCACACAGCTGGGTCCTTTTACTGCTATTTGCCATAAGGATGTCAGGAGGAGAGACTAGCACATGGAGAGAAACAAGCACCTTATCCTAGATTTTAGTGTCCAGCAGGAGTGTGAAGGAAATGCATAGTGTTCTTGTCTGCTCTTTTGGGACAGCCTTTTGGTTTCTGTGTACTTGCTAGGTATCTGCAGTTTTATTGTGAATTCCATAATACGTGTAGGTTCCTTTTGCGCATTAATATTAAATATTTAATGTATTGGACATGTGTATAGATCAGCTTTTAGATTAGGAATGAGTATCCCTTTTCGATAACTTATATGTTGATTCCTGTTAGGAAACATTTAGCAACTTGATATGCTTAGTGTTCAGGATTGCTTATGCAAGGAATTATCTTACAAGTATTATTTTTCTAAACAGAAATATTAGTGTTGGAAATTAAGTATTATTGTCAGAGAATTTCTAAGTTTAGGCTTTTGAGTAAAAAAAAAAAAGTTTTATATTGGAAACCATAAAGCTAGAACATCCCCTATTTTCCCCACTTAAGATAAACTACACAGAACGTGATACTCGAATGAGACAATTTCTTAATTTTTCTTTTCCCTGAATGATAGCGTAGATTTAGAAACTAGTTAAGGAAGTTGAAAGATCAATCATCTTTATCCATGTCTTTGACCTTCAGAGGCTAACAGTTTATAGAAATTTGCAGTTAGTTCTTAAGGCATTTCAACCAAATCATTTAGATATATATGTAGTGTAATTTTTAACAAGGAAGGAAAAACTGCACATAATTCAAAATCTCATATAAAACACATTAAAGGGCAGACCATTTTTGTACAACCCAGTGAAATGTCAGTGCCTTTATGTAAAGAGTTCATCTAAATACTTCTCTCCAAATATTCGTTTCAGATATTAATGTTTGCTTAGGATTTTGCAGTCCATTTTTCCTCCTAAAGCAATTCCTGTATTTTCTTGGTACTGTTCTTCTACTTTACTGTTAGTATTTTTTCTACAGCAATTGCATGTTTACCTTGATGTTCTTTATCCAGCATTTCTGTTAGTAGTTTTCTCAGAGCAATTTATATTGCTTATTCCGAATTTTTTACTGCGATTTCCCCCCCCTCCCCCCCAGTATATTTTCATACTTGGATTCCTTATGAGCTACCACCTATATAGAATTCTGTCACTGTGGACTTAAATTCTGGTGAGATGGCAACTTGCTATCTTCATTTTAGATTGGAACATTATTAAAAGGAAACTAAGGAACCATCCTATCCTTTTTTCATACATGTTTTTGTTACTCTTGAAACTTTCATCTGTCGGAGTCATTCCCCTCCAGCAAAAATATTTTAGCCTTCTCTGCTCATGTATAGATCACTGTCACTCCTAAACATAAATATAATATTGAGCACTGATAACACCGTTCAGTCATGAACATCAAAAGTACTTAAAGGCTCTAGTTAAGCCTTCCATGACCACTGTAAGATGTTTTGTTACTTTAATCCATCGTAGCCTGTATGAACTGAGTACCGTATCTGGTAACTGAACTTGAAAGATTTTAATATTCAATGTTATTTGAAAATGAATTTCAGGAGTACTGATCTATGAACTGGTGTGACAGTTAGGACCTCTGATTTGTAGCATTTGTCCTGCAAGAGGTGCCGTTGCAAAATTCATTTGAGTTGTTAGAAGGCTTTTAATTGATGAAATGCACTGTCACCTATCTATTTGTGGCATTGATAGCTTTCATCCACTTTATATGAGAATAATTTTGTAAACAATGGCAGTGGTTACTAATCTTAGTTTAGAAATAATGAATCTTTCCTTGAATAGCTCCCTTTGATTTTCTGGCCTGTGCTGATGTGCATGCTACCTATTTCACTAGGGCACTGGTCTCAGAAGGAGAAAGCAAGACAGCCAGCTCAGATGACAGTTTTAGAAGAGCAGTCGGAGGCTGAATGATGAAGAGATTTAATAATCAGCTGGGTTCACACATGTTAAAGTAATGCACAGTCATTGAGCACGTCACCCTCTCAAGGGAACGCTAACTCTAGTGCTATCAAAAATCTACTGATAAATTCAAAACGTTGACTTTGTGTGGCATGCAATCAAAAGCTGGTGGCAATAACACAGCAGGGTTCTTAATCACTTTGCTGTTACAGTCGTGCTCCTGCTGTCATATTTCTAAAGGTTCATTTGTTAATTTGTTGAACAGAATGCTTAAGCAACTTGTACAGCTTCCAGCTTCTGTGCTTAGAGTATATGTAGTGTAATATTAGACTACCAGATAGTATGGGGGAAGATTTTTGAAAGAAATTATTATATGTGTTTGCAACACTCTGTGGAACATATTCTCATGGGTCTCAAGAGGCTTTTAAATCTGTTTAGATTTTTAAAATTAAGTTTGCTTGTGGGAATTTAACTCTTGTTAAGCTGAACACATGATGGGAAATATTGGGTAAATTAGTGTACATACCTCTTGAAGCCAAATATATTACCTGAGTATTTGTGGTGGGTGGACCCTGGCTGGATGCCAGGTGCCTACCAAAGCCGCTCTATCACTCTCCCCACCATCAGCTGGACAGAGGAGAGAAAATATAACGAAAGGCTTGTGGGTTGAGATAAGGATAGGGAGAGATCACTTGCCAATTACTGTTTGTCACAGGCAAAACAGATTCAACTTGGGGGAAAAAAAAAAATTAATATATTTTTTATCAAATCAGAGTAGGATAATGAGAAATAAAAACTGAATCTTAAAAATACCTTCCCCCCACACCTGCCGCCTTCTTGGGCTCAACTTTACTCCTGATTTTCTCTCCCTCCTCCCCCCTCAGCAGCACAGGAGGACAGGTAATGGGGGTTGGGGTCAGTTCATCACACATTGTTTCTGCTGCTCCTTCCTCCTCAAGGGGAGGACTCCTCACACTCTTTCCCTGCTCCAGCGTGGGGTCCCTCCCATCGGAGACAGTCCTCCATGAACTTCTCCAGCGTGAGTCCTTCCCACGGGCTGCAGTCCTTCAGGCACAGACTGCTCCAGCACGGGCTTTCCCATGGAGTCACAGCCATATTCGGGGGCATCCAACTGCTCCGGCGTGGGGTCCTCCATGGGCTGCAGGTGGAGATCTGCTCCACCGTGGACCTCCATGGGTTGCAGGGCAACAGCCTGCCTCACCATGGTCTTCACCATGGGTTGCAGGGGAATCTCTGCTCTGGCACCTGGAGCACCTCCTGCCCCTCCTTCTGCACTGACCTGGGGGTCTGCAGGGCTGTTTCTCTCACATACTCTCACTCCTCTCTCCAGCTGCAGTTTTTTTGTTCCACAGCAACTTTTTCCTCTTCTTAAACCTGTTATCCCAGAGGTGCTACCACTGTCACTGATGGGCTTGGGCTTGGGCTTGGCCTTGGCCAGCGGCAGGTCCATCTTGGAGCCAGCTGGCATTGGCTCTGTCAGATACTGGGGAAGATTTTAGCAGCTTCTCACAGAAGCCACCCCTGTGGCTGCCCCCCACTACCAAAACCTTGCCCACAAACCCAATACAGTATTCTAGGAATAGCAGTATAGATTATAGCTGCCAGCACTGCAGCTGAATATTGGGATTTTGCAATTGTAAAATCTGACCACTGGCTGCTAGTATTTAGCTTGTCTATTTAGCTGGAGTGTTCAAACAGTGATGGCTACTCAGTACAAGTTGTAGTGGTATTTGCCTGATGTATTGCAGCTAGAAAGGTCATCTCTTTGGGAGGAGGGGCAATGAGAAAATAGTAAGTAAACAAACAAAAAAAGGCATCTCTTTAATTCAGTGGCAGTATGGGTCATATAAGTAGAATTTTGTCAAGATGAGACCATTTGTCTTGGTATGAACTGGACTTTTCTTCTTCCCTCCCTGGTGAAGTGATCTTCAACAGCAAAGATGTCATTTTATTTCAGCCTCCGTCATATGATGCTTTCTTCCTTTTCAAGAAAATATCTTGAAAATTACTTCTGGGAATATTGCTTTTTCAAATGGGTGGCAATATAAGAAATTATCTCTAGAATGAAGCTTGCTCCTGCCCTATGAATCCTGCAGAAAAGGACCTGGGGGGTCTTAGTTGACATGAAGTTAAAACGTGATTTAGCAGTGCACCCTTGCGGCAACAAAGGCTAACAGCATACTGGGCTGCGTTAGAAGTGTAGCTAGCAGGTTAAGGGAAGCTATTATTATTCCTCTCTTCCTGGCAGTCTTGAGGCCACATCTGAAATACTATGTTCATCTTTGGGTCCCACAGTCTAACAGAGATGATAAAAAAACGAGTCCAGCAAAGGAGAAACTAAGAGGGTCAGGAGGGTGGAACAGCTGGTATATGCAGCAAGGTGAAGGGAACTAGGCTGCTTTAGCGGTCAAAAGAGAAGACTCGAGGGAAACCTAAATGCTATCTTCCACTATCTGAGGGAGTAGGTGATTCGTGAAGACAGATCCAGATGCTTTTCAGAAGAGCACAGTGAAAGGGCAAGAGGCAACAATGTGAAGTTGCAAGAAGGGACATTCCAATTGGGCATAATTAAAAAAAATCATTACTATTTTGATTAAGAACTGGTTTTTAAAGCATCATCAATGCTTTGGATCAGGATTTTTTAAAAAGTATGTAGATAACTAAAAAAGTTGTCAGTTCTCAGAGTGCAATAATGAAATAGCATTGTGCTTCCTGTTCTGATCCATCTTTGTAGAAGGTAGAAAGAAAATTACATATACTTAACTTTTTTAAAGCTAGAAAGGAGAAAACTGAAGTAGGAAGGTGAAAAGATAATCTGCAGTTCAAGAAAGATTAATGCTACTAGGGAGTCCCTGAAAATTAAAATCTCAAATGCATGCCTATGTCCACGATAGCAAAAAATATAAACTTCTAGTTAACTTTTAACATTTGGGCTGTGTAGAAGAACAGACATGTGCTGGTTTTAATTACTTTAACTGTGTAATATAACTTATACATACTAAGCTGCATTTTGATCTAAAATATTTTTTGTTAAAACAATACTGTGTGATAATATCTTAAGTGGATAACTCAAACTTTCTAGTTATACTTTCATATTTTAATGTTGGCAGGTGGAAGTTCTCTGAGACTCTTGTCCTTGTACTACTAAAATTATCCCTAACTAAAGATGCATCCAGACCTGTCTCCACATCTGCACACCGAAGAATGTAACCTAGTTATCAGTCTGCTCAAGAAGTGTCACAAGGAGGTAAGGAGTTTTGAGCAGAGAAAAGAGTGGGTGGTTTGGGGGAATGAGTGTCAGATAAATTAGTGAGAATATTATATGATCATAGAGAGAAAAACCTCCTCTAGGAGGTAACATGTAGCTAGTATGTTTTCACTGAAGAGGTATCTGATGACTGTGTGTAAAATTTTGCCAGTGATTTCTTTACAAAATAAAACATGCCTTACAATTTCCTGTGCTACAGCTGGACAAGAATGGACCTATTTTAAGAACTGAAATAAATTCTGCACCTTTTAGTACTGTGTGCCCCTCAAAAAATAATAATAAAAGCAACTTCAAATGCCCTCTTTTGTATGCTCACAGCATTTCCATATTCCAGCTGTCCACTGGGCAGATGCTTCAGTCTATTTATAAGCAGATGTGTTGATGGGGATCCGGACATGCAGCATGCCTTACATTCAATGCTTTGAGAGCTAAATGCGCATTGCTGTTTGACTTCCATGTTCTTAATAGGCACCTACCCAAGAATGTGAAATGCCAAATTGTCTTCAGGCTTCTCAAGGCTCTTCATTGCTTCAGGAAGATAGAATCTTCATGTCATTCATTTAAAAGTCTTTTTTTCAATTTGCTCTGTAGTAAACCTCTAGATGTAGAAGAGTCAGCCCCTGCAATGAAAGCTATCTGCAGCATTGTTGTAATATTGTGAATTATTTTCCCAGTTCTCTTGTATACTCTAAGTAGATGTTCTGTACAGATATATTTCTGTATTAGTGCATAAAAAGCTCAGTTTTGTAGTTTCCACTGAGACAAAAATATATTTAAATGTTGAATATGAATGTGAAAACAATGGTTTACACCATTACATGCAATCTACAATATTTTCACCTCCATGTTCAGATGTGGTGTTTATACTTTTTTTTGCAATGCAGTTAGTTACCCATAAATTCTAAGACAATACATATGTTAGCTTTACAGTTTTGAGCAGAATTCTAATTTTTTCTTTGCAAAAGTCACTACAGAAAGAAAAACAAGGCTGATAATACACAAAATGCGTGAGAAGACATTTTGCATGAAAGAGATATAACAACATTTTTGCAGATTTTGAAGTAGCTAAACTAACATATAAAAAAACTTTTGTGGTACCACACTTTCTTATGATTTCTAAATTACAACAATGAAGGGAGCAGAGTTTTAATACTGAAATTCACTTTCAATGAGTATACTGTACTGGGTTTGTTCAGCAACATTTAATTGGTTTTTGTTGGCACTTGTAGTGCAATATCTTGAAATGTAAGCCCACTGGAATCTGTTGATGCCATCTCATAGGTGGTACTTCCCATACCATTGCCTGTCTGTTCCTATGCACTGTCTAAATTTTTTAAACCTAAGATACAAAGTTCTTGTGCAGAACATCCCCAAGCTTCAAAATTAAAAGTTGTGTTAAGTGCAAGAGTTACGCATTTCTTCTGAGTTCTAAAATTTTAATTTGCTTAAAAATGCTTTAGGTAATTTGAGAGATTGTAGAGACTTTTTTTGTTGTTGTTAGTTGATTTTTTTAAACAACTTTAATGTTGTAATGTAGCTAGAATTAAGGTATTCAGTAGCTAGAATTAAGTGAGAAGACTCTCCTTGTACATTAACTACTATAGTATCAAAAGGATTGCCAAATAAAATGACTATCAGTTAAGAGAAGAACAAAACTTCTATAGGCAATATAAAATTCAAATGTTGTCATTAGTTTTTCATAACTGTGAAAACAAATCCAATCAGGAAAGAAAATACACTCAGATTTGTCCTGCTTTTTGGTACATAGATAGTTGGGCTTTCTATGCTTTGACTAGAGAATCCAGAAGTACTCATTTACTACTTGAAAGTAATGGTTGACTGTATTTTTGGGGTGTCTGTGTTTTTTGTTTGTTTGTTTTAATAAAAATGAATGTTAATATACATGTATCATAGGCTTTTTGTATAATGTAGCTTATTAGACTGCCTTGAGTTTGAGAGGGAACTGGAACTAAAAGGTGTACTTGAATTCCTTGGCAGCAAGTGATTCAAAGGACTCTATTGCCAATTTGACTTATGAAGGGACTAGGAGCAGCAATAACACAGTCATGCACAGGATTATATTCTCTTGGTTTTGTTTGAAGTTGATGTTTACATGAAGAGGAATTACTTTTGTCAGTCTTGTGCAACGATGAGACGGTATTTGTGCTAGCAGTCTCAGAACAGAAAGGGTGAGGATGGCTTCTTTCACACTCAGTTGAAAGGAAGCAATACCTTTTCATTTAAAATTCAAGGGGAATGTGCTGAAATACTCTTTTAAAATTGAAGTAACTGAAATCTGAAAAGTTGGTGATCTTTATCAGTGACTACCTGCTGTTTTGTTATAATGCCAAAATGTTCTAAGAACCTTCATCTACAATTTAAATTAATATTCCTGAGGGATGAAAAGCATTATTTTTTAATTGGGTATCCTGTGTGTACATTTTCACAAAAGTCAGTTTGATTTACTTTATTCCTAATCTAGAACCTGCTCATTATATCAAGTTTTGCATCTAGTGAGGAGAGGTTAATGGGATTCCTATTTGGTGTCATTATTTTGATTTTTTTTTTTTTTTATTTTAACAACTCCACTTGTGCCAAGTGCATGTTTTAAAAAGACTTATTTTCATAGGTGGCAGCTGAAAGAAATGCGCGTAGTCTTGCAACCATATCACTGTAATAGGCGTAATAGCTATTTTTGAGCAACTGATTCTTTTTTTCTCATAATCTGAACCAAAAAGTTGACAGCTTAGGAATCTGGCTAAAGAAATACAGATTCAACTCACTGTATGCAGTAGTAAGAGTGGAGTTTGAAATGTGAGCACTCACTTTGAAATTTAACATGCAGGTATGGGCATAGAATACAAAACTAAATCTGTATTAGCTAAAATGAAAGTGTTGTAAAAGCAAGAAAAGCTTGCAGTAAAGTGACCATTTATCACATGCAACTGCTTCAGAGTGTCATCTGATGCCCTTTATAAAGCAGAGAGGTATAAACAAGCTAATTGTAGCACTGCTATAGTTAAATTGTCATAACCTTTATTAACCCACTCCTACCTTCAGTAATGTTCTATTGGTTGCAATCTTGTCCACTGTTTGAATTTTAAATAGTGTTCCTGTATTACTTGTATAAATCCATCTGGTTGCTCCTCAGCTACAGAAAAGCGCATAGGTTTCCCTCTGAAATACAGAAGTGACTTCATTTTCATCTGTTTTGTTTGTTTTGTTCTTCATGGTCTTTTTTTTTTTTTTTTTAAATTCATTAGTTCTTTAAAAGATTGATCGAATTGTCTCTATTGATTGGATAGCTGTAAATATCTCCTAAAAGCTCCACACCTTCAGGTCTTCTGAATTGCTTGGATACTCTGCTACCAGATTCTGTCCCATGGTAACAAGCATCACTCTGAAAAAGTAGTCCTTTTAGAAGAATGCATTCTGAGAGTGATTTGATGGCTGGTAATATGAAATCACTTCAGGAAATCCTGGCTAAAAGGACAGATTTTTATGGTGGATGTCATCAGGTTAGGTGGGGAATGCCTTCCTGAGGACAATGCCTGCAGTTTTTCAGAAACTAAGTAACACTTAAGAATGCATAAGGCCCATCGTTGAGCTGTGTCATAAAGATGGTAAATGCATCTTATTTATTAACCTCAAGATCTGGAGAAACTTAATCGCCCGTTTTTGATACTGGTTCTAACATTTCAGTCACTTAAGCTTAGTGCCTGCATCTTCTGGACCAACAACTCATTCTTCATGTGGTAGGGATGATGGAGCATCAAGTGCTTTGCCTCTCTAGGTCATGAAGAAATAATGACAACTAAAGCACAGAAGACATTGCCTCCAGGATGCCCGTAAATCTCCTAATACATCTTTCTATATCACAAACTGGAGTTCAGAATATTCATTTTTTGTACATGACTCAAGCTAGCGTGAGTGAAATTTGTAAGACCGATTTCCTAGATCAAGAAAATGTTCTACATTTAGACTTCATAGCTTCAGCTTAGGTATCCTATTTTAGTCTGATTATATGACATAGTGAGTACCTTCAACTTTCAGCAAGGCAGGGGTGGCTCAAATGAGGTTCAGGAGTAGCTCTAACTTCTACCTACTCAGTGAAAAAGTTACAAAGCATCATTTTTCACAAAAAGAGAAAAAGGAAAAGAAAACCAGGATATGTTGCAAAATGCAAGTGACTTCTAAGAAATTTAGAGCTTCCAAGGAAGAAACCTTTGAATTGTAAATTTTTTTTTCTCTCCCTAACTTAACCAGCACAACATTTTGAAATTTTTTGGCTATTGCAATGATATTGACCGTGAGATGCGGAAGTGCTTAAAGAAAGAGGTAAGAAACAGATTTACTGTGAGTTAAATGCTTAAGTAAAAAAAAGTCCATAGGACAGAAACAGTGTTGCTTTTTATTAAGTAGTACAAATCAATAAATAGGCCTTGAAATATAAGCACATTCTGGAGTGGGCATTTGATACCAAATTTAAACTTTTTTTGATAGATTTCTGAGGTAAAATCTGGCTTTAACAAATGGCATAGTCTATTTTTGGATATACAAAAATAGGCAAACACATTTTAACCAAACAAATACTGCAAATAGGAACTGACACTTCACAGATTGCTTCTGATTTTTTCTTAATTTTTTTTTTTTTAAGTAGTGGTGTTCACAGAGAATAGACTATAAAGTAGTAATGGTCACTTACGCATGAGTAACACTTATTACTAAAGTCAGTTATACTGACTGAAACTACTTGATGAGTTGCTGAGTTAGGCCCTAAATGAAAATATTGCTGCTTAGGACCTACTCATTGCCGTACTACATCTGCAGATATGAAGGAATGGAAGACTCTCGGAGTTTAAGTAGATTAACTAGCTAATGGGCACATTTTCAGAAGAGTATCAGCTGGTCTTTATATTTGTGGTTGTCATGCCTACATGACAGAACACATAAATGAACTTTTCACACATCTTTTAACTTGAAATTGTACTTATTAATTTTGACATAAATTTCACAATTGTGTCTAAAAATGGAAACTTGGAAGTGCATGACAGCCAGAACAGTTTGGGCCCCCTCTTTTCCCTCTGTCAGTCTATGGGAATTAATTTCATCTGCTTGTGCCAAATACCTTTTTTTTTTTTTTTTTTTTTTTTTCCCCCCTCCCTTGTAAAAACTGTAGCACAGATCTGGAAAATAAGGAAGGAAAGTTTCTCTCCAACTAATCTTATTTTTCTTTGTTTCATTGAAGCCTTTATATTAAAAGGAGTTCTTGATGGCTATATTTGTTTGCCTTCTTAAAATATGGCTACATTGATATGCCATTACTAGGAAGCCCCTGAAAGACTGTTCACAAGTATGGAATGGGTACAGATGTAGCTTTTGAAGATCCATTGTTCTCATTCTAAGTAAAAACAGGGATGGGTTATTGAAAAAATAAATATTGGCATGGGAAAAAGTTAGGCATTCTGTAAATGTTAAATAATGTTTCGGGCCATTATTTCAGTTATAGACCAATCAGTACAATGAGTGAAAAAACACAAATCCTTTCCAAAATCAATCTCCTTAACAGTTTATTATATTGTATAGAGATTTGAGTATTTGTGTGTTACTTTGGTTTTATTCTTGATATGAATTACTAAAAAAATGAACAAATATATGGGCTAACTTAAGGCCAAGAATAAGTTGCTTCTCATGAAATATATATCAAATCATACATTGATTTTTAATTTTTCATTTCTTTTAGCCATGAAAAGGTTTCCTTTTTGGCTGCAATGAAAGACAGGCTCTTCAGTCTTCAGGCTTTTGCTAGTGCAGGGGCATACTTGAAAGCACGGTTGTCTTATGCATGTTATCTAAACTGTGAAGGCTTTCTTGATTCCATTTTACACTGGAGTCCCGTCTCTGTTGTGTTTCTTTTTTAAACCATAAAAAAATCTAAAATGCCTTACCCTTATTAAACCCAAATTTGCCTTTGTTCCTTTCATCTTGGTATACTACTTTATCTGTGCACATAATTAATGACCAGGATCAAAAATAGACCAAGTCTGTGATGACAGATTCATGTTTCAGAAGGCAGACACACTTACATTAATCAGTATCTTTTAAAAGGAAAAGAGCCTGACCTGTGCTCTGGAATAGCACCAATGCAACATTTTTCGTAGCTCATGTGTGAAGTGTAGCTGTCGTACATAAGATGGCTGTATAATTAAGTTTCTCCACAAGATTAACTGAATCTTCTTTATTAGAATGTTCTAATACTCTTTAGCTTAATAACCTCAAACTTGGAAACATGTATTTTAATCAAATAAATGTTAATTTCAAAGTAAAAATGAACCAATATATAGATATTAACAAGAACTGCATTTCTAATGCATCCGTCAAAGATATTGTTTCTGTTTCTGGGTAATAAACGCTCTACGCTTTTAAATTTGACTTATCCGTTTAATGATAACAGTTGATCTATTAATTTCCTTATCTGTCTTGCAGTATGAAGAAAACAGGGCCAGGAACCGGGCAATGCGACGGAGGCTAATCGATGCTCACAAAAACTCAGAGAAGTGAGCTGTGCTGTAGTCGGACAGCTGCATCTCAATAGGGACACTCAGCTGAAAGTTGACAGATTACTTCTTTCCCATCACCAATTCTCAGCCTGTGGTTTGTGAAATCGTGAAAAAATAAACGCACCTAATACATACATACTCATTCCCAGCAAGGCAAACAGTGTGGAAAAAAATAAATATAATAAATGATCACTCACAACTTAATTTTTGACCTCTAAAAGAAAACTCTTGTGGCAGGTCTTTGTTCTGGTATAGTTTTGTTATGATTGTTAAGTAACGAGGAGTCAGTGTGTATGGAGTATTATGTATTCAAGGCTGCTATATTCCGTACCTTGTGTTGAATTGCATGTATTTCTTTGTGTTTAGCAGTTTCTCTTTCATATCTTGGGGTTTTTTGGTTTTGTTCTTTTTCTTGCAAAACACTGAATGACTTTTTCCATCACTCTCTAATGTTGTGATAACACTGCTTAAATGAATTAACAAAAAGAAATTTTAAACAGATGTGGCTTGAAATTGGAAATTGCCTATCAAGTAATAATTGGAGTTCTAGTATTTTTATTGGAGCAAAAATGATGAAACTGCCATCTTCCACTGAGAAGATTAAAAATCCTTCCTGCCAACCGTATGTACAGTGTAGACTGTTGTAAGACAATTTGTTCATCATACCCAAAGCAAGTGGCTTTAGAAATTCAGAATGGAACATTTCCAGGGATTTACAAAGCTTTGCCTTGATTTTTGTTGAGCACAATCAATGTGCGTTGAGTGATTTTTAGAAGAGGAGTGCTGTGAAAAATACAAGCTAAGTAGTTCTTCCACGAATTCTGGTACAAACATGAAGTCAAGTTATGACTGTTGCTCTTGAAGGAAAACTCACATTGAAGTGAAAGAAAGTGTAACTTGCCTTTCAGTTAGGCAAGTCAACTAGTATTGTATTAGCCAAGTTGCCTCGTTAGCCTACAAGAGCTGTTTATTTGCTATCAAACTGCAGAAAGTCCTCAACAAGTCTCTGAATTCAGAAGATTTGATATTAAAACATATGTTGGTTTGTGCAGTGATAGAGCTGCTTCTCTGGGTGTCTGCTGGATTTAGCTTATTTTTAAACAACTTTTCTGTTCCGCCTAGCAACAAAAGACTATTTAAAAAAAATAAATTTTATTGAGCCAAATATACTAAGTGTCTTGAAACCTTTTGAAAAAAAGGGTGCCTATTCTACAATGAATTCTACAGTTTGTTGTAAGAACCATTGTTGACACTCAATCTTGAAATGAGTACATGCACCTGGTTTTGGAAGACAGCTGTATTTTGTGATCTATTTTGAAAGATTAATTATATAGAATAATTTTACTTATTTTTCAATACCTGGATGGACCCAGTTAAATTGCTAAAACTTAACCACAACTGTTTTCAGTGAAAGTGCCAAGAAAAACTGAAGTAATTGTTTCTGCATCTTTTGACATGCTGTCTGCTTTCTTAGAACAAGGAAATAATGTATTATTTGAATTAAATACTTGAGTGGTTGGAAGTGGTGCAGTCTTTTTATTGTTACTCTTCAGACTACTTTTGAAGTATTTTGTAGTGAAGTTCCCTAGCTGGGAACTCTGCATCCTTGATCCTTCTTCAATTTGTGATGACAAAATCTACTTCAGGTAAGCTCTTAAATAGGATTTGGTGATGCTTGTAATCTTTAAGTAAATAAATAAATAGAGAATTGTCCTAGAGATTAGGTTGAGAAGCTGTTATCTGAGTGCAGAGCACTGAAGCTTTTCTTTCTTTCAACAGCTTCTGAGAGTCCAGATCTTTCACTAGAATAGCAACAAAATAAGAATCCAAGAGCCACTTAACACAGCTCATTAGTCAGAATCATGTTTTCAAAGATCAATGTGCTTAATGAATGAAAGACCAAATGGCATGCACAATTTCTATTGATACTTTGAACTACATTTAGCAATAAATCTATTTTACAGATACTTTGTTTACCTAGTGAAAGTATGATCATGTTCATCCTTCTGTTTCTCTTTGCTAATTGCCTGCCAGTAGTGGGATATGAGATCGCCCATTGATTCCTGTGGTTTTGTTCCTTTTTTTTTTTTGAGAGGGGTTATGTTGCTAATTTGAAGCTGAGAAACACTAGTGTAATAATACTTATGATTTATCTGGCAGAAAAAGAAAGTAAGGGTGAAATGGTAAATGCATTTTTTTTGTTTCCTGAAGTGAGCTGAGTGGTGAGTAGGGGACATGTTGGGTGAAATAAACCTTGTCTATAAGGACTTTGAAGACACTTTATTGTAATGTCATTTGTGTACAGAAGCATTTTTCCCATTGCTCTTTCTGAAAGAGCAGGTTTTAGAGAGAAGAAAAAAAGAAATTCGATGGAATTTTGCGTTGCATCATGTGAGAGAAGCTCTTGGGCACTTCATGTGGGAAAGGTGAAGAAGGGGGATATAACAGAAAGGGCAAATGGCAGCTATATTACAGACCTGGCCATAGCAGTGAGGTTTTTCCATATTCAAGTGCAACAAAAGTCTAGAGTACATGGACAGGAGGAGTACAGAGCAAGGGAGTGATTAACTACCCAGCAAAATCCCTCCAGCTCTACCAGAAACACCTGGTAACACTATCGGTCGTGTACCTTCTCTTGCTGGAAAATGAAATGCTGCAATCTTGTTTTCCTTTTTTATTTTTTTTCTTTTTTCAGTAGAAGGAAAGATATTCTGCTGAATAGCGGCAGTGTAATCTAAGTACAGCAAGGCTAGTTCTTGCTCTGGTGTTAAGCTCTGCCTGCAAAGATCACTTGTACTGGTGCTCAATTCTACTAGGAATAGTTCGAAACATTAGTTGTCTGTCAGGGGAAATTATTGTGAGATGTATTCCAGTGACTGCTCAGTGGCTAGTTTTCCATAAATTAACTTAGGACACCCTTAAGCTGCAGTGAGTTCCCTGGTGCAACATAGCTTTGCCTCACAAGCACAATACCAGAGCATAAGCTGCAGCTATTGCATGTGTGTTTGTGGGCTCCACACTGAGAGGGAGGTAAGAATTCAGTATTGTCAGAAATCACTGTCTAGTCTTTATCCAGTTTAACCTTCATCTGTACTTTCTTGCAGTTAGTTTATTAATTAAGTTGATAAAAAGCTATAAGACTGGCTTTCATGTACTATTTTTTTAATACTATTTTACGTCTCATCTCATGAATGTCCTGCATCTCTTTTGCCTTGTTTTTGGACTTTTTGGAATCAACAGGCCAAAACATGCCATATCTGCATGGTTCTTTATATAGGATTTGAATCTGGTATTGCTGTTAAGCTACAGCGCTGAGTGTTAATATACTATGAATATACTGTTTGTCTTTCCCTGTTCCACTGTATTGGGTTTGTGGGCAAGGTTTTGGTAGCTGGGTGGCCACAGGGGAGGCTTCTGTGAGAAGCTGCCAGAAGCTTCCCCTGTGTCCAACAGAGTCAATGCCAGCCGGCTCCAAGATGGACCCGCCGCTGGCCAAGGCCAAGCCCAAGCCCATCAGTGACAGTGGTAGCGCCTCTGGGATAACAGGTTTAAGAAGAGGAAAAAGTTGCTGTGGAACAAAAAAACTGCAGCTGGAGAGAGGAGTGAGAGTATGTGAGAGAAACAGCCCTGCAGACCCCCAGGTCAGTGCAGAAGGAGGGGCAGGAGGTGCTCCAGGTGCCAGAGCAGATTCCCCTGCAGCCCATGGGGAAGACCATGGTGAGGCAGGCTGTTGCCCTGCAGCCTTTGGAGGTCCACGGTGGAGCAGATCTCCACCTGCAGCCCATGGAGGACCCCACGCCGGAGCAGTTGGATGCCCCCGAAGATGACTGTGACTCCATGGGAAAGCCCGTGCTGGAGCAGTCTGTGCCTGAAGGACTGCAGCCCATGGGAAGGACTCACGCTGGAACAGTTTGTGAAGAACTGTAGCCCATGGGAAGGACTCATGTTGGAGAAGTTCATGGAGGACTGTCTCCGATGGGAGGGACCCCACGCTGGAGCAGGGGAAGAGTGTGAGGAGTCCTCCCCCTGAGGAGGAAAGAGCGGCAGAGACAAGGTGTGATGAACTGACCCCAGCCCCCATTCCCCGTCCTCCTGTGCTGCGGGGGGGGAGGAGGGAGAGAAAATCGGGAGTAAAGTTGAGGCGAGGAAGAAGGTATTTTTAAGATTTAGTTTTTATTTCTCATTATCCTGCTCTGATTTGATTGGTAATAAATTAAGCTAATTTCCTCATGTCGAGTCTGTTTTGCCTGTGATGGTAATTGGTTGAGTGATCTCTCCCTGTCCTTATCTCGACCCATGAGCCTTTCACTATATTTTCTCTCCCCTGTCCAGCTGGTAGGGGGTGGGGGGGAGTGATAGAGTGGCTTTGGTGGGCACCTGGTGTCCAGCCAGTGTCAACCCACCACATACACTCTAGTTGGTAACACCCTAAAGGAATTACAGCAGAGGCATTTGTTGCAGATACAGTCTATGTGTAGTTTCTAGACCTTGCAGTAAAACCTCGATTCAATTGAGCTGACCATTTGTACAATTTGGGTGAGGACTCTAGTCCTGTGAGTGTTCTAGCCACTTACTTTTTCCCATCCAATTCTCAGCTGATACGCTGCTTATTCAAACAGTTGCAGTAATTGCTCACAAACACAGGGATAAGCTGACTGTGAATTTTTATAGGCGTGCATAACTTCCTGAATATCAGGGTGTACTCAAAAAAACCTTGTAAGAAATGTAGTCTTGGTACATTCCTCTGCAGGAATGATTAATATGAATAACTACTGGTAAAATATGTAGCTGAAAACTTAGTTATGCCTACTGTAATTGTGAATCATTGTAATGAATATTGCCAATACGTTATACACTTTGCTAAAGCTCTACGCCTGTCCTGGCTTCCGCTGGGACAGAGTTAATTTTCTTCCTAGTAGCTGGTACAGTGCTGTGTTTTGGATTTAGGATGAGAATAATGTTGATAACACACTGATGTTTTAGTTGTTGCTGGGCAGCACTTACATAGAGCCAAGGCCTTTTCTGCTTCTCACCCCACCAGCAAGGAGGCTGGGGGGGGCACAAGAAGCTGGGAGGGGACACAGTGAGGACAGCTGACCCAAACTGACCCAAGGGATATTCCAGACGGTATGACATCATGCTCAGCATATAAAGCTGGGGGGAGTTGGCTGGGGAGTGGCAGCCCGCTTGTTTTGTATATTCTTTTATCATTATTATTTTCCCTTCCTTTTCTGTCCTGCTAAACTGTCTTTATCTCAGCCCACAAATTTTACCTTTTTTCCGATTCTCTCCCCCATCCCACTTGTGGGGGAGAGAGTAAATGGCTGTGTGGTGTTCAGCTGCCTGCCAGGTTAAACCACATCGCCACCACAGGAGTAAAGTGCCTTCAACAGTCAGGCATTTCTTAATATTGGCACTGCCCGGGCTTTAAAAGAGTGCATGACATCTAACATAAAATCTTTCTAATATAAGTGAAAACACATTTCTGTGGAATACCTAAAATGACATGAACAACAGGAAAACTATGATATCAGACTCTGACAGTTTAATTAAAAATGAATTATTTGCACTTGTGCTTAAGCAAAGGGGATTCTCTACCTGGACAACATAATGGATTTCAGGGGTGTAGACTTAAGTTACACATTCAATTTTATTAACATTCACTAAAATGGAGTAGCGTAGCAAATCTTAGTGGTCCCATTAGATTCTCTGTTTATTTTACAGAGCCTTTCACTTGTAATTTGCCGATTCTAATTCTGCTTGGCAGAGGAACCTGATGAAGTTAATAGTCTGGCCTGTTTCGTAGGGGTGTTTGCATCACTCAAGGTAAATAGATATTTGGTATAACTGAGGCTCAGTGGTAACCATGCTGCTAATCAACAGAACCTGCTTTGTGTTAAATGAAGGTGTACCAATAAAAACTCTTCAAGTGAAAACTAAATTCACGAGGTTCCCCAAACCTGTTTAAATTGCTGTGCACCAAAAAATATATCAATGGGAACAAAATAGATATTTAGCCTAAAAATGGTTCTTGTGAACTGTCACGCTTTAAAATTACTCTTTTGAATGATTTAGTGACATTTTAAAGGCTGGGAACTTTGATATGGAGCTATCACTTTCATTATTTTTCATGTAGACCCCTAGATAAAACAAGCTACATTTCAAAAAGGTAACCGTGCAGAAAGATCTTTTGGGGCATTCATTACCTGGAAAAGATCTTACCGATGGCTTGACAGAACTCATCCCCAGCACAGACATCAGCCATCCAGAGTCTGGTGATTTGTTTGGGCTTGGGAAAAACGTCAAGAATACAGATGTGTGTAACTAAGTTACATTAAAGGAACTCAGATACCACCATCTCTTCCCCAAGATTAAGGTGCTGAAAGAACAGGTTACAAAATCTGTGTGTCGTTAGCGAGAAATCAGTGGTCTAATGGCAATACTGTAATTTTACAAAACCCCTGATGAAAAACTGGTCTTGACCTTTG